AGTTTCTAATGTTTCTATTGCTTCTAGGTGTTGCCTGTGTGTCCACTGCTGAGTTAGTCCTGCCGCGGGATCTTTCGTTCCAGACTTCATGCTTGATCGCGTGCTTCTTCGCCCCCGAGCCATTCAAAGCTACGACGGAGTGGCGCTTTGGAGATCATTCGTCAACCGTTCCAAGCATTCCAGGCATTCTGAATCATTATGATGCCATATGATTCCCTCAAACATGATTCACCTGTCGAAGTCTTGTTGTTGAGAAATGTTCAGTTGGAGCATGTAACGTTCCATTGTTTCAGCTTCGTCTTTTAATATGGACGACCTTTTTGGGGAATTCTATCATGCAAAATATCCGGCATCACGGAGATTTCAGGACCTACAGAACATCAAATGTCACTCACAGAGGACCAACTCGGCATAGGTCTAGGCGACAGCTCAGGTTGAAAATCGTACATACATGCGGCAGGGCTATGCAAGACTGAACCGGTTTGCTACCCCCGGTTCAATATGTTTTTGCTCTACAAATGGTAAACTCTACCCATGAAAGTGCTCTGGAGCTAAGGCAAGAACCATGGAGGTGAGGGACGACGGACTAGTAATCCGTTTGCATCTTTTGATATTTAAAATATTTTAAAATCATCTGATCAAATTCTGCTGCCGCATGGCCGCATCCCTCTGGAATGAGCCTTGAGAGATCCTGCTCCATGATTTCAATGTGCAGTGGATGGGTGACATGATCTGGGTCCTTCTGACAGTGGGGTTCGACACAGTCATCCCATGTCATCCCATGTCATCCCAGCCTTTACTTCAGCACTTCGTTCTTCAATTCGCTGTTTCAACCTCTGCTCCTGCAAAGAAATTGCTGCGTGGGCTGCATGTTACGAACCAGCGGGCACAATAGCACTGTGAGTCTTTGTTTGGTCTTCAAAGCGCTGTTTTTTTGCTGCATAGAAACCCTACTGACACTCCTGATCCGGTATCCCTATGACACCTGAGTAGATTCAACACAATGCAACAATGTTAACCCTAGATTAACAAATCTCTGGTTTATCCGGGGGGGCAACTTGAACAATAACTCAATACTATTTTGCCACCCCATTTAATAAATGAACTGGTGGTCAATGGTTTACAATGGTTTTTTGCAGTATCAATCAAGGTTGGCGTTATCCTCCTACCGACAGTGGCTCAATGCACTGAGGAGCACCTTGGCCAAGAGTTTCTGCTCTTGCTGACTCAGCTCCTAGCTATTGCTGAATCCAAGAGAAAGGTCCCGGAGATCACTGTGTTTGGGGTTTCAAATTCCGGGTTGAAAATGGAACAAAAATTGAATAGGTCTTCAGGCCAGTCAAATTTATTCAAACGTCTGGGCTGAATTGTGATTTCCACCTCCAAGTCTTGAAAGTCATGGTGATTTGCATCCTTTATGGTGTCACATTGGTATCTGGTCATCTCAGCGATATCGTCAAGACCCTGAAAAAATGCACGGCCAAACATGTCAGGCATCTTCTGGCTCCTCGTAGGGCCCACGAACCTTTTCCACCTCCGCTTCAAGTTTGGCCAACATCCCTTCCTCAGCAAGAACCGACGCCGTTAGTACACAATTCATCCAGTCTAGCGTCCAGCCAGGGAGTCTGCATCATGAGCATTTAAAGGTTTGGGACTCATGCTCACATGGATATCCCTGCACCGGGGAGGGGATCCTTTGGAGGAAACCCATCCGCATTTTGACGATGCAACGGTCATCAGAACACGCTCCTCCAGCATATCGCCAGACACAACAGTAATTCCATTGAGTGCCCCAACGATGTCCTCACGGGCTGGCTTGATGCTCTCAGAATCAACCATAGTTTTCAAAGGTATCGAATGGCCCTGATTTTAGGCTACAAATTGCCCAGATTGACCTGAACATACCTTTATGTGGAAAAAACAACCATTTAGGGTCTACTTTTAAGGGACATAGGGGGGGACTTGGGAACCAGGGGGGATTAAGGATGCACATGGGGGCATGCAGCAACATGATGCACACAGGCAACATTCCTTCATGTAGAAAAACAACCATGTAGGGTCTAATTTTAAGGGACATAGGGGGGGACTTGGGGACCAGGGGGCATTAAGGAGGCACATGGGGGCATGCAGCAACATGATGCACACAGCCAACATTCCTTCATGTAGAAAAACAACCATTTAGGATTTAATTTTAAGGGACATAGGGGGCGGAATTGGGGACCAGCAGGGGATTAGGGAGGGGCTTGGGGACCGGGGGGATTAGGAAGGGACATGAAGGCATGCAGCAACATAATGCACGCAGGTAACAGGGTCATCGAAAAACAACCATTTGCGGTCTACTTTTAGGAGTAGCTCGAGTCGAAAGGGGCTACCCGGGCACAAGCGAGACAAATCCACGGGCACAAGCGAGGCCAGTTCCCCCTAAAAGCTTTCGAAAGATAGCCACGCCTTGAATTATGCCAGGCGCTTACGAACAAGCAACTCTGGCGTGCTGCTGAATGGCCGCATAGAGAATTAGAGAAACAAGGGGAGCACTTCAGAAAGAGCCAGTAAGCAGCCAGACTCGGCCACCCAAAACCGGGCGACACCGAGGCGACTTTCGACCAATGGACAAAAAATACTTCCACCAGGCTCCACACATATGAAATTAAGATATGTTAAGATAAATTAAGCACAATCGAGTGACCAAGGGTCACCAAGCAGCCAAAGTCGAGCAATATTGGACCCAAGATGAGCATCCGTCAAGTCAGCCCGACTTACCAGGACCTTTAGGAGTTTCTCGTGGTGTAACAAAATGCAATGGACATTGGGTTTCAATTGTTGGCCCGTCACAATGAATAAGCGAAAAATCCACAAAGCCTTCCTTCCTTGAGCTTCCCAATGTGCACCTCCTCGAAGTTTTGTTTTGGTGTGCGCTTCATTGTCCCATTGTGTTGCCGTGACGGGTGAAAACCCACATTTCTCCAATATTTGGGACAAAATCCCTGTCTTCCACCCAGCCATCGGTCCGGAGGAACTGGGGTCTTCCGCTCGACGGCCTGAGATTCATGCATCACCCTCATGCATCACCCTTGGCAGTGTTAAAGTTTGATCTTAGATATGCTAGATAATCTAGCAACCAACAGCAGACAAGTCTTGAACAACCCCCGGGAACATACAAATATAATCAAACATTTGAGTCTGTGTGCACAATGTCATCACATGGAATATGCGGGTAGATGAAATTGCGGTCTTTATCACTGAGAGAATGCAGCGGCCTATCCAAAGATAGCCTAAAAGAATGAATTTTGAAGCTCGGATTTCGGTAGCATGACATTTTCCGCCAACCGAACTGCACCGGCAAGAGACCCCAAAGAGTGTGGAGGATAGGAAGTCAATGTGCCAGATACAAGCCAAAGTAGCTACGGAAAAGTAACAGATCAGGTTCAGAACTGCAGCAGGAACTTGTTTTGGCGCAAGAAACAATGCTATGTCTACTCAGCAGGACCCCATACCAGAACCCCACCAGGACATCTAAGAAAATTTGGAAAAGTCGTGACAGAAGGACCGTGTATATAGACGATCTCACAAGATCTGCAGACAAGAACTTCATGTGAGTATCAGAGAAGAACTTTCACACAAGCACCAATGCAGAGCATCTGCGAGATCTTAGTGCAAGGACCTCTTGAGGATGGTTTCAACCGTATCTCCACAAGATCTTCTGACAAGGACCTGTACGAGATCATGCAAGGACCTCTTAAAGGATTTTAGCAGGATCTCTACAAGAGCTTCTCATGTGAGAAACTTCGACCAAGATCTTCATGCCAGGACCCCGAAGAGAATCCCACAAGATCTTCAGAAAAGGACCTGCTGCTGCAGCTTACAAGATGATGAGACAATGAACTCCCAAGAGCATCGAGCTGCCATACAAGCACCTCTAATACATGGCATCTGCAAGGTCTTCACACAAGATCTTCTTAGGACCTGTGCAAGATCATGCGAGGACCTTTTAGGGGATGTCAGCCAAACCTTCACAAGATCTTCTCATAAGGACCATCACAAGATCATGCAAGGACCTCGGACAGGATTTCATCAGGATCCTCCAAGGGTGCACCATGAAACTCTTGCAAGATCGTCATAGAAGGGACCAAGACCAGGACAACTGTTTTGTGCGAGCCTGTGCGGTCAAAATGTACATGGACATGTCACAAGAGCAATTTTACGCGAGAATTGTCAGGGGAAAAGCCGGGGCCCAAGATCGTGAAAACCTCGCGGTGCAGACTTTGTGCGAGCCTGCGCAGTCGAAATGCACATGGACAACAGCAAAAATGCCGGGGACCAGAGAGTGTACCCTGATCCAACCTCAGCCTTTACTCTTACCGTAAGAACCCCTCAGTGTGGACACACTTCTGGGGAAAAATGGAGTAGTCGCAGATAGCTGAGGCATATCTCAGCCATCTCTTGGACAAAACCCTGCAACACGTGGCACCGTGGCGCGCCTGGGTTTTGAAGGTTGTCTTCTTCTTGGTCAGTTCCTGCGCCTCGCAAGTGCATAGTTACTAACCTGACCTTCTGTGATGTCAGCACATGACAACCTTCCAACTATATCCATAAATAATAAGTCAAAGGACAAATCAAAATGATGCGTATGGTATGTTTGTGTGTATGTGTGTTTCAATTTATATCATAAAGTGTATGGGCCTTTCACTGGCCACGCAAGGAGAAAACTGCGGCGCATATTGGTGGATGAGCTGTCCAAGAGTCGTCATAAGTCTCATCTTCAACCGAAAGATCCTAAGGACCCGCAACATCCCGCAACTATATAATCCCATTTCAACAGCTTTCAACTACAGTCACTACAGCGGCGCCGCCCAAAGAAAGAGCACTGTGGCGCCCCACCTTCGTCACCACGTGTTTCTTCTTCTCCTCAACTTGCGCCACTTCTTTGGTGACCTGCTCCGCCTCCCAAGCGGCCCGGGCTGGGCGGTCCGGGCTGTCAAATGCTTCAACTGGCGAGGACTTCCTGAAAGCGATTGTCCATCCAAAATCCTGAGTTTCAAAGAGTAGTGGTAAGGCTGGTGGGACAGGGACAGTGGAAAAAAGTACCGTCCTGAAGCCATTGAAATGGAACCCTCACACATGTGCTATGAAGTGCTTGGATCCAAATAAGCCGGACCGGATTGACCTTAATAAACATAAAATCATCAAGGAAGCCATTTTCTTTTGAATAGGGCTGTTACGGTGTCCGGATTACTTTGCCGCACGCTCTTCAAACAATCCATGGCCTCCTTCTTCTTTTGCTCCAGCATCTTTTTTGCTTTGGCCACCTGCATCACTGAAACATACTGAAACATGGTGAAACCATGATCACCGGATAGTGGTCTGGATAGCCGCCCAACTGGCCCGGTTTGAGCGTCCTGGAGATCACACCCCAGGCATCTGAAGGCGATCTGATCAAAGGCATCACAGCCGACGAAACCAGGGACCCAAACCCGTTCTTCGGTCTTCTCCTTGAGGTCCTTTGCCTCTTCCGCCTGCACCAGCAGATTTTCTGAAGCTTGGAACATCTTGGAACCAGAGGTTCCAAAAAAATAGAACAAATGGAACGTTACTATCGTTCCTAAGTATCCAGAAACATCCAGAAACGACCAAACCCACCACGAGCAAAATACGAATAGCTTTTGGTTCTTCATCAAAGTTGTGGACGTTATGACCCAAAGCTATTTGTGCATCAAGTACGGACTCGATTGCCATCTTGCACAGGGAGCTGCGTGAAGCAACCTTAGTCAGGTTTGCTGGGTGCTGGGACGGCCCGGCAACCTCAACAACTTCCGCCCTGTGGGTTACAATCGCACAGCTATTGCGTACCTGGGTGGTCAGTGTCTGAATCTTCTTCTGGATGGTGGTGGATTTTTCTGTGAACGCTGACACCGCTTGCTCCAGCTTCTGAAGTCTGGCCTGGAGGTCACAAAAGGTGAAGAGTTGGACACCAAGGCTTCACCGGACAAGGGGCACCATACAGCCGACTCAAACCTTGATTCGAAGCAGAACATCTAAGAACTGCGTGGTTTCTTGGCATGTCGCCATCTATATTGTTCACATTTGTTCACGGCAGGGCTAAGATTCATTCAAGAGTAGGGAAAAAACATTAAAAAAAAAAACTTCCTCATATCAGGGCTGAGCATATCTTCGAGAAAGGGGATTCACGTCAATAATTGGAATACACGACTGGACCGATGACTGTGGTGTCTTTCTGAGAAGGACTTGCTTAAGATAAAGTCTGATAAAAAAAGAGTGTCAGGCTGAAAAGCCTGATATGTAAGAAGTATCATGACCAAATGACTCACATGTTCATTGTTTTTCTTCGACATTTCAAGGCGTTGGCCATCCTTGGCTGTCCGCGCGTTTGGCGGATAGCACCTTCTCCTCTTTGGTCATTTGCTTCACCACCACTTCATCCCCAGTCTCGCCCTCCACAGCAGCCTGGAGGAACGGCAAAGCTTAGTTGGAAACGAAGCATCCGAAAATGAGACTCACTGAGATGAGTTTGGTGTGGAAAAATATGTGTTTTGGATTGTTTGGGATTGTTTTGGATTGTTTTAGACACTGCTTCTGATTATCAGGTTTCAGAGAACTGCAGCCATACCGAAAAAGCCGCCAACACTGGAACACGGCCCTGAACAACCTCTCTCTTAGAAAACCACCAGTCCCAATCCAATCTCTAGGGAATAAGTGAAGATAAGTAAACACTGTTGAACCTAAACATCCACTGGTATCCAATGAAACGGCCTCCCCCTGGTGGAGACTCTTGGAGGCCCAAACAATTCGAAAAGGAAAACAATTTGTGTGGTAACTCCCGCATGACTGGCTACAAACATTGCAAACATTCTTGAAACCATTGCAAGTGATTCGTCATGGGGATTGCCATTCAAGTCCAGCCCACAGTTGCATCCGAAATTTCAACCCCGTCCTGTTCCTGTTCTGCAGCAGCAGCTGCTTGCTGCAGCTGTCTTTTTAGAGTAACATATTTTCGACGCGCCTTACCATGAGGGGAAGCGAAGCTTCAGAGTTACGCCAGTTACACCCTTCCGTTTTCCAACAGTGCTCTTGGAGATTGCTTTGGGATGTGGGATATTTTTTTTGGGTTGGTTTGAAGTATTTAGCTCTCCTGGACCTGTTCTTGAGGGTTTTAATCAGGCACCACAGAAACAGCATGAAACAGCGACATCACTCGATCCATCTCGATCCTCCTCTTGGGCTTCTTTCTTCTTCTCCTTTCTTTCGGCCTGTGAACAGCCGGAACTTCGACCGGGAAGGCTTCTGGCCAGACAAAGAAGGATGCAAAGGGTGCATCCAGGCTTGCTACAACAGGCTATAGCACCTTATAGCCAAAAATGCACAAATTCAATCTCTGCCCAATTCTGCTTCCTGAAAAATTGATTCATTCCTTAGGATCCTGCATGTATCCTGCATGTGATATGATGCATGCCTGGAATTGTAATATCTATGAAGACTTGAAACGTTGAAGAAACTTTGATGCCCCCTGGCAAACCACATATGAATGTTAGCAATAAGATTTGAGCCAATTTGAGCTGTTAGGGAATTGTTTACATGGTTTTCCTATGATCGAAAGTAGTGGATTCCCAGTCCTGAATTAGTTTGTTCGACTTGCCAGAGGGGCCCCAGAGCAACAAGTAAGCGGCAAGTACTTTGTTCACCTGAGTCCCTGCCAATCCCAGCCTGCACTTTTTCACGTTTGGCCTGTCGGATTCACTCGATTCGATTTTGGTCAGAAAATGTTTCCGGATTAAAAACCCTTGGTCCGTGGGTTCCATCAAAACATCCTTTTACCGCATACCCAGTTGTTTGTGGTTCAAGTGGATGCCGCTTTTCTCATGCGTCGTTGAAATTACATCACTTCAGAAGCGCGGATATTTTTCAACCAGGACTTCAGGAAAAAAATGCTCTAAGAATTAGAATCTTCGGATGGTTCTTACAGGCAAAGGTCAGTGTTGAACGATTCCAATGCGAACACAACCCAGGTTTGCAGGTGCCACCTTAGAGTCCGCATGCGCTATGGTCATAACAAATGCATTTTGTGACAATCATCAACTACTACCAGGTTACTACCACTCACTTGGATTCCTTTCAATGGGATCACATTCTTGGGCGTCAATCAATCTCAATGACAGGGGTTGACAAAATACCTGTGAAACCGCACCACTAGAGCCACCCATGGGTTCAGCTTTTGAATCTCATCTCTTTGGCTCTAGCGATTCTGAGTTTGAGGTTCGTTTGACGTTCCAAACCCAAACCTTCATGCCTCATTTACGACGTATTTATGACAATAGTTTGAGTTTGACCATCGGTATCCATCGGTACACCATGGCAGGTCCCTGCGCCTGTCGTGCTGCATGCCGTTGCTGGTAGCCGGCCATGAGGCGTCGGTGCTCAGCCTCTCAGGTCGACGAGCTGCCGTGAGATTTTCGGGACTGGTGGGACCAGAAACATGTCGAAATCTTCTGTGAAAGCTTTCGGGTGTGCTTGCTGTCTCGGCCCGTACATGACCGTTCCAGCACGTCATAATTATAATATAAAGAACAAGAACAAGAACACTAATAATAATAATAATCAATAATAATAATCATCATCATCATCACCATCATCATCATCACCATCATCATCCTCGTCGTCGTCGTCATCGTCATCGTCACCATCGTCATCGTACTGTCGTACTGTCGTACTGTCGTACTGTCGCACTGGCTAGCGAATGCGCAAATAGAATAAAACGCATGAAATGGTGCTAAACTTATCAACACTGTGGCTATGAAAGTTGAATAGCCAATTTCATCCGATTTCGAAGTCTCTTCCGTGGTTCTGCCGTCCTCTCGCCTCCTTGATTTCTGCTTTCCCCTCAGCACCTTCGGCCTGGCGGAGGCATCCGATTGGAGAATCCGCGCAGGGCTTCAAGCCCATCACTGTCAATCGGTACCATGAATCGCCGGCCAAAAGCGAATGAGAACCGCTAAAATGTCCGGCAGTCAACATGTTGGAACAACTGTTTGAACAACTGCATCTACATCAAACAGATCAACACAGGTGCTACGTGGTGCTACAACTCCTGTGTTGGTTGAGTCTGAGGCAATGTGAAAACGGTGTGACCACAGCCTTGGATTTCAGATCCATCAGCATCGCGGCGTGCTCCTCCTGTTCCAACAAGTGAGATTCTATAAATGGATCAAACTTAGGCGTTCTTCGCCGGCTAAAAACTCAGTGACTGGTGATATTTACATTCGAATTTGAAATTGTGGTTTCCAACTTTAGTGTGGATTCGAAGTTAACGTAAACGACGTAAACTTTGATCTCCAACTTTGATCCGCACAATGTTGAGATGCTCTTGCTTTGACAGGCCAATCCTGAGGCTGCTGGTACGAGTCCTGGTACCACTTGAAATACTTATTGTACAATCGGTGTTTATCGGATTTTTTTTATGTCAGTCCAACTGTGAATCAGAATTGCTTATATTCAGTTCCACGACAATAAAGCAGTGTGAAGATGGATTTAAGTACGGAAGGGATAACCAGGATGAAAATATATGACATATGAAAATATCACTTCAATTTAACTACTTCAGGATGCTTCAGGATGCTTCAGGATGCTTCAGGATGCTTCAGGGCAGTATTCGGACGATCCCAAGGGGTGGTGTGTCCGAAGGCGTCCTGCTGCGCCAGCAGGGAATAGAAGTGCTGCAACTTGACAGAGTAGTCCTGCCAGGGCCACGGAGGGCCACGGAGGGCCACGGAGGGACATGGTCGTCTCGTTTCAGTACATCCACGAAGCACAGTGACTCAGCAAACTCAGCAGCTCCAAGTTTATGAATGTTTATCAAATTGTTGCAGCCAGATTATACATGATACATCATATACATCACAATACTTCATAGCTGTCGTATAGCTGTCGTATAGCTGTCGTTAAAGTCAAGACTGATTTGTTTCTAGGCACGACCCCAAAACCCATGCTGTCTCTCAGAACCTTCAGGCTGGCAGCGGGCCCGCCCGGACCTTCTGTTTGTGGACCATGGTCTGGTATTGCTCCCGGAGATGGTCCGTCATGACATCCTCGAATGGCCCAAGGCACTTCATGATGTGTCATGAGTTTCATGATTTTCATGATTTTCATGATTTTCATGCACCAAAGATGGTTACATGATGTTACACCGATGGTTACATGGCCATGTCTCATATGCCGAGTTTGGGACCCCAGTTCAGTGCCTCGTGATAAACCCGGTGGATCCATCTTGGGACCGCACCTCTGTCTCTTGGAGGACATTTTTGTCGGTGGATCCCTTCCAAAGCAACGGGACTTTGCTGATCAAAAAAGTTGCATGCGACTTCAACACTATTTGCTTTGGTGAAGCGGATTGGAAAAAAAACAATGAAGGATTCCTGATCAACGTGATCGCAGCATATCGCAGCATAGTTGGTGTCCTTCCATATCTTCCGTCCATAAACCCAGGTGGCCAGCGAGTGATTTTGATCCCGGCTCATCCCTGGGCCTCATCGACCAGTTGCGCCCACTTCTTTGCAGCCTTGGCGCAGCGGCACAGCATGGCGCAGCATGGCGCAGAATTTCAAGAGCGATCTCAGAACAATCCTGCGGGAACTGTTGCTGCTTCACACCGAGACCAAAGTGAGAAAGGGATGGAAAGGATTCTGCAGATTCCTTTGTCACCCAAGTCTGCCACAGAAGTTTCTGACTCAGTCTATCTTGACGCCATCTAAGCCGCAGACGCAGTCCATGACGGTCATCCCAATTTCCTACCCGAAAGGATCGGCCAAGTTGGCAAGCCCAATGGATAGAACGGTCTGTGTTCTCAATGTGAAGGCATCAGTTGAACCGTTGCAAAGGATAGGCGAAATCATCCATATCCATATTGAAACCAGGCATGCCTTCATTGACAAAGTCTCCATTATGGAATAGCAGGGGTTTTGTATACTGTATATGGGAGCAGGGAGAAAGACCAGTTCTGATCTTGCTGTATTTTGTAGCAGCATTAGGCCGTTTTGTTTGGAAATTATTGCAGTAGGATCGTGTTCAAGGTCAAGATGGATCAGAAATATATCTGTATGTGAAAACCAACCACTAAGATCCACTAAGCATAGATATTCAGTTGGTGTTCACTCAATAGCGACGAACACGCATCAAAAGTCTGACTGCTTGGCTATTGAATCAATGTTGAGGTCAGTAAAGTTATACCATAGAATAAATGCATGTACATGGAACTCTTGGCACTCTTGGAACTCATTGGACATATTATCAATACAAATAATGACATAGGTTGTGAGAAACGGATGTTTCACCTGGCGCGGGCGACCCGCGGATGGCACCGACTCAGCTGGGGATGCACTGAGGGAGGGACTGTCCACGACGCTCCTTGGTTTTGGGCCTGTCAACTTTGTCGAAGCCTACCCGGACACCTACTCATTCTCAGTACACCGTACTCCTAGCCGCCCTAGCCCTTGCCAAAGGAAAATGAAGAGAGATGGCCACTGAAAGGTCAAGTCTGCATGGCATTTGAATCTGGTGAAACACCAACAAGATCCAACAAGTATAGATAGTATAGTATAGGAGTATACATATATATATATAATACATATATATATAATATAATACATATATATATAATATATAGTAATCATGTGTGGAGCCACAATCCGGGCCAAGAAATGGGATCAAATCCCAAGGAGTGCTTTGTAAGAAAAACTGATTTTGGAGGCCTAATCTTTGCATTGATCCTTGAGAATCCTTGAGAATCCTTGAGATGCTTTTCATACAAGTCACAACCATTTTACCAAACATCCTCACAGCTAGGCCTGAATGATCATGCCGTGAATCAATTTGATCTTGCCTGGCAGGAAGAAGCAATGGAAAACTCTGAGGAAATCGGGTCAAGTGAACACATGTGAACACCTAGATCATGTATGTAGAGTAGAGTGAAAGTCTTATGAGAGTGCTCAGGTCATTGTATGTAGAGGATCAGACAGTTACTCCGATATGAAGTCAAGAGTCGACCCAAAGATGCCCTATAAATGGGGCAAAAGATCTTCCAAACCTGGTTTCTGTGATTCCATGTCGGCCCCAGTGGATTTTCAATGATTTTCCCACCAGCGGTCACCAGCACCTTCCATGTCGCGTGGGCCACTATCAGAGGCAAAATCACCTCACGCACGGATCCCTCCCAAGAATCAGAACAACTCATATAACACCCAGGAAGTGCACAACAAAACAGTTCAAAGACATGGCACTTTTTTCCTCAAAGAATGGAAAAAAAACACAATTTCCTGCAGTTTGCTGCTTAGCTCCGTCGTTGGAACATGCCAAGCTTGCCAAGCTGGCTACAGGTGGCTACAGGCACGATGGGCCACCGGGCTGCCAGCGAGTTCATCCAGCATTTCCCGCATCTGTTCCTATGGAAGTACAGAAGTGCTTGGACCTGCTTGGAATTTTGGTGGAAACAGCTTGAAACTCGGTTGAAACAGGTTGAAACATGTTGAAACTGCTGAACACCAGATCCTGTTCTAAAATGTTTCTGATGTTCTAGATATTTATAGATCATGAGGCCTCAAGAAATGTCTGGTGATTGTATTATTTGTATTCGCCACCAAGAGCCCGTGCATTAAAATCATTAAAGCCAACTGTACCCATGAGGCCCATGACATCATGAGTTTTCCACGGATCCATTGCCATGCCAAGACCAGAAGCATCGCACATCAACTGAGTCATCAAGAGTCATCAACTGAGCTTCCGGCTCGTTTTTTGAGGTGCTCAGCATTGATCTAAGCCGAGCACTTGGAAATCTGCCTTTTTCATCCTTTTTCCTTTTCTTGGTGGACATATCTGGGAAAAGGATGTCAGAAATGAAATGTGTCAACGTCAGTTAAAATCGATGCTGTTATGTTCTGCTGATTCATTGGTGTGACAGGCTGGTGTCATCCACTTCGATAGTGTTTTTACATGTTGCAATATGTTGCAAAGGTACGACATGTTGTGGAAAGTCTCTGAAAGCGTTGGATCGCGAACTCCCCACTCTCTCCCATGTTCCTCGTGGTCCCTTGTGGTCCCTACTTGTGATCCCTCCAGGCTTCCCTGGCACTTCGCACTTTCTGCACTAAGAGCCGGGTGCAAACCTCATCGCCCAACTCTACTTCGGCCTGCAGGACATCCTAACGTCCTAACGTCCTTGATGCAAACAACTCAAGCAACTGGGAAAATCTTGGGAAGCTACAGCATGCTATAACTGCATATAGCTGCAATATAGCTGCAATATAGCAATAGAATTGATGTCATGGATGTCATGGTTCAGTTCGATCCAGCGAGGGGCTCTGTTTCTGCACCTTCTGGAGATTCTTCAAAATCTCCTCGTCGGCATCGTTGGGTGGCACCTGAGGCAATTGAAAGATCAGTTGCTCCAGTGGCAGTGTCCTAGAGGTTTGAATAGGTTTGACATGTTCTGATATGTTTTGATATGTTGGGATGATTCGATCAGGGGACTTAGAGACTTGGAT